ATAGAAAAAACCGTACTCTCACGCCATTGGTCGCATGACTCCGTGACATTAGTTGGATAAATATTATTTACAAAGGACGCGATTTGAATCCTCCAGTAAGTTATTGTGAGAGAGTACGGTTTTATTTATTTCTTAGGAAAACGATTGACCACCAAACGTTTTAATGACAATATTCGTGACCACCAAACGATTCCGCGTCGATTGAGCCCTATCAAAGTCAACTTGGGTGACAAATACAATTTTTTTGACTAATAGCACAGAGTCATACGACCAATGGCGTGAGCATACTGTTTTTCCTTTTTTCTGGGAAAACGGTTGACCACCAAACGTTTTACTGATTATATTCGTGACCACCAAACAATTCCGCGTCGATTGAGATGTATGAAAGTCAATTTGATTGATAAATAATATGTTTATCCATCAAATTACCGAGCTAACGTCACGGAGTCATGCGACCAATGGCGTGGAAGTACGGTTTTTTCTATTTCTTAGGAAAACCATTGACCACCAAACGTTTTAATGACAATATTTGTGACCACCAAACGATTCCGCGTCGATTGAGCCCTATCAAAGTCAATTTGGGTGACAAATACAATTTTTCTGACTAATAGCACAGAGTCATACGACCAATGGCGTGAGCATACGGTTTTTCCTTTTTTCTGGGAAAACGGTTGACCACCAAACGTTTTACTGATTATATTCGTGACCACCAAACGATTCCGCGTCGATTGAGCCGTATGGAAGTCAATTTGATTAATAAATAATGTTTATCCATCAAATTACCGAGCTATACAACGTCACGGAGTCATACGACCAATGGCGTAAGAGTACGGTTTTATCTATTTCTTAGGAAAACGATTGACCACCAAACGTTTTAATGACGATATTCGTGACCACCAAACGATTCCGCGTCGATTGAGCCCTATCAAAGTCAATTTGGGTGACAAATACAATTTTTCTGACTAATAGCACAGAGTCATACGACCAATGGCGTGAGCATACGGTTTTTCTTTTTTTCTGGGAAAACGGTTGACCACCAAACGTTTTACTGATTATATTCGTGACCACCAAACGATTCCGCGTCGATTGAGCCGTATGAAAGTCAATTTGATTGATAAATAATGTTTATCCATCAAATTACCGAGCTAACGTCACGGAGTCATGCGACCAATGGCGTGAGAGTACGGTTTTTTCTATTTCTTAGGAAAACGATTGACCACCAAACGTTTTAATGACAACATTCGTGACCACCAAACGATTCCGCGTCGATTGAGCCCTATCAAAGTCAATTTGGGTGACAAATACAATTTTTCTGACTAATAGCACAGAGGCCGCGGTCCATTTGACGCTACAAATGCTTCGAAACGTTCTTCTTCTCTTTCTTTCTTCATTGAAAGAAAGGAGAAAAAGAATGCTTCGGAGCATTTGTAGCGCAAGTGGACCGCAGTGAGAGTCATACGACCAATGGCGTGAGCATACGGTTTTTCCTTTTTTCTGGGAAAACGGTTGACCACCAAACGTTTTACTAAATATATTCGTGACTACCAAACGATTCCGCGTCGATTGAGCCGTATGAAAGTCAATTTGATTGATAATTAATGTTTATCCATCAAATTACCGAGCTAACGTCACGAAGTCATACGACCAATGGCGTTAGAGTACGGTTTTGTCTATTTCTTAGGAAAACGATTGACCACCAAACGTTTTAATGACGATATTCGTGACCACCAAACGATTCCGCGTCGATTGAGCCGTATGAAAGTCAATTTGATTGATAAATAATGTTTATCCATCAAATTACCAAGCTAACGTCACGGAGTCATGCGACCAATGGCGTGAGAGTACGGTTTTTTTTATTTCTTAGAAAAACGGTTGACCACCAAACGTTTTAATGACAATATTCGTGACCACCAAACGATTCCGCGTCGATTGAGCCGTATGAAAGTCAATTTGATTGATAAATAATGTTTATCCATCAAATTACCGAGCTAACGTCACGAAGTCATACGACCAATGGCGTGAGAGTACGATTTTATCTATTTCTTAGGAAAACGATTGACCACCAAACGTTTTAATGACGATATTTGTGACCACCAAACAATTCCGCGTCGATTGAGCCGTATGAAAGTCAATTTGATTGATAAATAATGTTTATCCATCAAATTACCGAGCTAACGTCACGGAGTCATACGACCAATGGCGTGAGAGTACGGTTTTATCTATTTCTTAGGAAAACCATTGACCACCAAACGTTTTAATGACGATATTCGTGACCACCAAACGATTCCGCGTCGATTGAGCCCTATCAAAGTAAATTTGGGTGATAAATACAATTTTTCCGGCTAATGGCACAGTGGTGATATGTCCAGCATTATGCGCATACGATTTTTTTATTTTCTGGGAAAACGGTTGACCACCAAACGTTTTACTGGTGATATTCGTGACCACCAAACGATTCTGCGTCGAATGAGCTATAAAAAAGTTAAATTGGTTGAAAAATAAAAATTGTCCGGCTAACTTCACACCGGAAATTTCAATTTTATTTTACAGGAAAACGACTAACCACCAAACGATCGGACTAGACTACCAAAGACCACCAAACGACCACCAATCGATTCTAATTAATGAAAGTTCGATACGTTGAAGTTGTCCGGCCAACTTCATTGAGGTCTCTGAGCACGTGTAATATACAGACGCAACGTTTGAGGTTAGTTTTCGCTTGCGCTACGAAAATGCCAAAAGTAAAACGTTACATGTGCCATGGAATTGTTACAATCATCTGGTGTGGTTTCGACTCGTGTCTTCAAATTACGTTTCCCAGTATTTGTCTGTGCTAACCGTTGATTGTACACTTTTTCAGTGACAACTTTTCCTTTCCACATGTAACGTTTTACTTTCGGCATTTTCGTAGCGCAAGCGAAAACTAACCTCAAACGATGCGTCTGTATATTACACGTGCTCAGAGCACACTTTCGATACACAGGAGGCTCTATTGGAAAAAGTAACGGACCTCTGTAGTATTTGTTATCCTTTACGGAGAGTGACGGAGAGAGAGGTTCTAACGTGACGTCATAGTGCGCTGTTGCCGGATCTCTGTACTTACGAGTTCAGTGAGACCAAGCGAGACTGTTCTCTGTTTGGTTTTTATTCAATATTTCAGAAAATATCCTCGAAGTCATAATTTTTTTGGTTCTAATTTGTTTGTAAGATGTTTATTAATATTTCTGCAAAGTTTTAAAAGGATGCCATATTTTCTTCGATATTAATTTCTCAAATGAAGTTGAAAAAACAGTGAAACTTGATGAATTCCCATAAGAGCCCATGTTAAATTCAAAGGGCCGGTCTCACAGTCTCCGATTAACGTGATTCTCCCTAGATTCTCCGATTAAACTCACTTTTCGTCTCTTTCTAGGGGGATAGTTAGAAAGAAATGCAGAGTGAGTTTAATCGGAGAATCACGTTAATCGGAGACTGTGAGACCGGCCCAAATTGTTATAACTTTTGAACGGGCCTCGCAAACTTGTTCAAACTTGGCACAATGCTTTATTATTATAATACTCATCACCTGACAAAGTTTGAAGATTAAACTCACTCTTCGTCTTTTTCTAGGGGGACAGAGTTAGAAAGATATACAGAGTGTGTTTAATCGGAGGATCACGTTAAGCGGAGACTGTAGGTTTGTTCGCGTCGCACGCCCCACCATGCTCCAACGCACTCCAAAAACTCATCTGCTCCAATCGCCACCCTTTATCCGTGATCCAAGTGTCTCTGGTGTATATTGGAGTATGCGACGCGAACAAACAATGTGAAATTGGCTCAGAGAGCAAAAATGCCATTCAATTCAAATATAGCAAGATCGAATTGCTTACACTGAGCCTCCCCTGTTTACCAATAGTTGGCCAATCACTGGAGGAGGGGCGGAGCAAAACACACAGATACATTTTATTAAATAAAAAAAAACTTAATCGATATAAGTTCTTATTAAAGTCGACAAATATAAATAATAATTCACTTTAATTACTGTTTTTTATACCTTATGATTGCGTCAGCAATATGTTATACGATATTGAACGATTCGGTAAAAAAAGAAAACGCGTCAGTTTTAACAATCATCTAAAACATTTTATACAGTTTTATGAAATTTACATGGCCTAATTTGCTAAAATAATTTTTCTAATTAATAAGTAAAGAGATTAAATTTGTGGGCGGGATTCAAGCTTGGACTGGGTATATGTACATAAACCAATTAATAATGATTCCAATATACATGTATGTGCGCATACGCACTGTATACAATATATTTATATATGGGCATTAAAATATACAACTAGTTGCATATCGCATGATAATATGTATATATCTGTACATGTACATAATATACATATATATACACATACACATATTTGACATGTCAAACAATTCATAGATTTTCTCTTTCTCTTCTTACGTACACATTCTTTCCCCTTTCCTTTTTTTTTAATTCTCATCCTCTACAATTAACAAATAAAGATATAGATTACGAAATACTTTCAACTTATATGAAAGAAAATTTCTAACGTAAGTTACTTGTATACATGCATGTATGTATGTATATATACATATATATAAATCTAATATTATGCATTTCTTCAATACAGCTTTTTTTACAGTCAAACTTCCATGATATAGAACAGTACAAAACGATAGGTTTCCTTTTTGCAACAGTATTACTTTCATCGCTGCAATGTCTTACGATACTGCAGCGATAAAAGGAAATATTTCTGCACCTGTCTGTGATATTACAATATGTAAGTACGTGTATGTTTATATATACATACAGAATGTTGAGTAAATCGTGGTACCATCGTCGAAAGATAATTCCTCGTAAAAAAAGCTACATAAAATAAATTTTTGTTATTGATTTCTTAGTTTTCGAGAAGTGAATTGTACAACGAAATAGACGGACATTACTTTCACTCATTCGAAATCGATTTTCTCAAAAACTATGATAATCAATAAGAAACTTGTTTTACAATTTTACAATTTCTTTTCATGGGATATTACTTATGCCACGATTTATCGGAGCACACCTAATCCCGTTAGTCATTATTGCCAGAATGAAAAGTATTACATATGTATATATACTCACACACGTATAATGAAGTTATATATGTATGTATATATATATATTTATATAAATACACGAGGCGGCTACCCCATCATTTAATCTATTATAGTCCACTCTCGTGTTCGGAAAGGCATATTAACTTGAGCAGATATCATAATTTGTGTTTGTCTGGAAGATTGATGTTATGCAAAATGCACGCTTCTGCATATAAAACTCCATCTTATGAAATCGACCCTATGCACAATTGTGCTAAACTCAAAGCTGAAGGTAATCTATAACTCGTGTCGTGCAACAATCAACATCACATTTCTTTTGTACAAACTCGTTCTAAAAATAAGTGCGATCTTTCTCGCTCGAGGCGCATTGTGAACTATTTTCAAAAACATGTATCATATACACACACGTAAGTAGCTTTCTCGTGTCTTCGTTTATAGTATTCGCAGACTAGGTGAACGGATTAATATGGGGCAGCCTTTGTGAGTATATATTCATTTCGTATTTATAAACTTTCTTTGCATAACATGACGCTGCCATAAACTTGAGATTTTCAGAATTATATGATGGGCGGGTCAGTGGGCACAATCGTCTGTATAAAACATTTAGAACACTGTAACACCCAGATATTTTGCAAAATGTACCGTTAGTTAATATTTGATTAGTAAGCCGTCCATTCAGGAATACCTATACTGCTTGTTTATATTATATTCGTTTGCAATATGGCTCGTTAAATAATATCGAAATTGCTTTTTAAAATGACAAAATCTTCCTGTCTTTTAAATCTATTTCTCCATAATATTATAATTTTGATCGGTATTCTACTAGTTACAAATCATTCGCTCTCAATTATATATAAGGTATCCAAAATATTTACAACTTTGCTAGCAGGCCTTTTATACACATCCCGCTGTTTCTCTTAATAAAAACAAATCTCCCAACACGAGAGATTTTTTTTTTCAAACTAATTTCTTTGTTGCATATTTCAGCCGTATTTAACGTTCTCAACTAATCTGGGCTATAACTGGACCCAGAAACAAAACTATGCGGAAACTCAATCACTTTCTGGACCGCCTTCTTTTTCACCTTCGCCGTCTCCTTCCTCTCGTGTCATGCCTTCGATTGGTGCTGGAGTATCCTCTGCATTCGTAACGTTACTCGTTGGCAATTGATCAGAATCAGGTGGCACGGACGGTGGGCCATTCTGTGCAGCGCCTTGCGGGAATCCCGTTTCAGCCGATACTAAATGCGATGGCATGTGTGGCGAGGCCGTTTGCGACTTTCTGCTTTTTTCACCTTTCCTCCATAATGTAATCTCCTGAGTAAAATACGAAGAGCAGTGGTAAAATGAACAAAGAAAGTATGCATGTAAAATAATATTATCATCTTGAACATATAAAAAGATGTATAATAATTTTAGAAAAAAATCTTAAAAAAAGATACGATCTTCTCTAATGACTCACCTGTTGTTTAAAGTATCGTCGATCCTCTTCATCCATGAGAACCAAATTCAGATAATATCTAACACTAAATTTCTTATTAATATCGCGCATTGTAGGCGCCAGATCGTACCCAGCCAAAAACACCCTTATAGGAATTGACTCTCCTCGAACAGGTGCACCATCCATAATCTCGTACTTCGCTATAGTTTCGTTTTCAGTAAACGTATGAGGGCCTGCAAATATGTATTCTAATTATTGCCTTAGTACCACGAATACCGCAAAGGAAAAACTTTCGGGAAACCAAAACTCGCGTTCCAATTTTGCCAACATGCAATGCTGCATGCGTACAAAAAACTGCAGAAATTATAGTTAAATTATTATCGCTACATTATGCTTCAATATATAAGTTATCTATAACATACCAGAGCCTGTGGTTTCTCGTTTGATGATTGCTATCTCCATATGTTTTATTTTTATTCTAACCAAAAGAAAGTATATTTTGCCAACAATTACATCTTTCAAATGATATCTGAAAAGATGGGTAATCATATTATCAGCACCATATGTTCAGAAAATTGATCATCGGAGCAGCTCAAATGTGTTACGCAATGTGACTTACTTGCTTTTATTATATTCAAATTCGATGTGCAAACAGTCTTCGATTCCAACTTCCATTTTAATGGGATTATTCATATCTGGGTAGGAACTAAGAGTGTGCACAACTAATTCGAGTTCTTTAATAATGTCACTAATTCTTCGTACAATTGTCACTTTCAAGAAATATCTTAGTCGTGCGTTGGAACCGGTGTAACTCTCAAATGGTTTTTCAACATTTGGGAATTCAAATGTATACACAGTATTGTGTGTTAATTCCCCTGGCCTTGCCAGTTCTTTTACCAGGCTTGTAAATTCGTGATGATTACCTCTGTCATAATATAGCTCAATTTGTCCAATAAATTCTACTTTGACACCATGATGCTCTAATTTTCCAGCTTTCCGCAAGCTAATATTAATCTGCAAGCATTGATTTAATGACAAATTTATACTGCAAAAGCATATATATAATTCAAAGATAAATTACATCTATTAAGATATATTACAGATATTCCTTCATTGTTATGTCATAGATTAATAATAAATTAATTGGCAAACAAATATACTTTAACCCTATCTTCTTATCATATAGATCTACAAATCATATTTTAACTTTTATAAAACAAATAACATGATTTTTTGACAACTGACAATTTGTTAGCTATATTACATTACAAGCAAAAAGTTTGTGTACGGCGGAAATGCAGTATTCATTCGAGTTGAACTGAACAAGCAAGCCTGGCACGTGGAACGTATCACATGCAAGGGTGTCAACGTTTCAGGCCTATTAAATCGCCTTTTTCTCGCGTCAGTCAGATGATTACGATCGAGGTCAATGTTTCAGGGAGCCCTACCTTGCCGGATACGGTCTCGCCGTCGTAATAGAGCAGATGCCGCTCTTTCTTGCCATCCTCGGACTTGATGTCTGCAGTTTTCCGTGTCTCAGCACCGTCCAACGTGATCTCTATGTCGGCGGACTGGCCGAAACCGAAGAAGCTCTGCGTGGAAGAATTGAAAGCGTTAAAAAACTGTATATTACACGGGGTACGGCGGGAGGAGACAACAACTCCCGGCGCCGATTAAGGATACTCGGATTACAGTGGGCCGAGGCCTGCAACCTCCCGTGGGAAGCGGACGCACCATTTTTCAGGGAAAGGAACAGTTTTCGTGGGAATGATACCCCGGCGCCACGCCGTAGTCACGCTGACAGGATCGGCCGTATCGCGGATCAATGGACAATTCTCCAGGGCAACATTTTTCTGCGTGCACGAGAGACGAGAAAAGTTGGGTTATTTTTTTACTCGTTCCTCCCGAAAGTCACAAGTAGCCAATATGGCCGCGCCCCCTTCCCCTCCCCCCTCGCCACTACAGTACACGCTGTCAAAACCAGAATCTCGGTGGCGCGCGCGGCGAAATCCACACAAAATCCCTAGAAGCAAGGTTCAATCCACGGACGTAAGATAAGACGGAGGACGGAGCATATTTTCGAAAAACTGGGCAACCAACAAATTTTCTAATTAAGTCCAACAAATTCCAACAAAATACCAATAATTATTTCGAACAAAAAAAGGTTTATAAAGTCAATATTGCTTTCACATATACTACGTTTACGCGAGCGTTACTTCTGTAGTAATAACTTACACGATAATTCACTCGTTTACGCGGAGTAAATCTACAAAATCCCGATTACGTGAAGGAATAATTATCGTAAATTACTATTATATACATTTTTGCTACTTATCTCATTTCGCTACTTATCTGATATCAGAATTAAGTAACGTTCGCGTAAACGTAATATTTGTGCACATATCACGGACAAATGTATACAGGGTGAGTTTTTTTTAAATTGAGACACCTAAATATGTCGAAGACGCATTTTTGAAAAAAAAAAGTTTAAAACGAAAGTGGTTTGGTTTTTTGGGGGGGGAGGAGGGATATAACAGCGTTATTTATTTTTGATTTGGTAAACGTTTAATTTCAGGGTTATTTTAAGATCAACTTAATTTTTATATATAGGAACCTATATATTTGTTTTAAAAGCACCTTATTTTATGTACAAAAACAAACAACTTTTGCCTGAAACATTTTTTATTTGCCTGATATACATACCTTTTGAGATATTCAAAGAAAACTATAGATGCAAATATTTAGCTTATATCTCGATAATTGTTTGTTGGAAGGAAAAATGGTACAGGACTTTTTAATTTGATTTGATCTCAAAAATATGCTGTTGCAATTTGCAATAGTACCAGCTTTTTTAAAATACTTGTGTATACATTTTCTTGGAGTTTTCATGGTGGTCTCACTTTATCTTCATGCACCGGAAGAGGTGGGGTGTAACGTAGTTGTCGGCAGATCCATCCATGCGCGCAGCGAGTGCGCGTGAAGAGAAACGGAATAAACGTGGTTCATGCTACCGTGCGTATCATGCATGAAACGAAACGCAAGTAACGCAACCCACGATAATGAATGGGCTGACAGATGGGGAAGGGAAGAGAGGTAGAGAGGACGAATTAGTCTCGTCGATAATGCTGGTTGACTCGCTTCTCCGTTGCCTGATATCTGTACTTGCGATTCGAGATTGAAGCGATTATTCACGTATTTATGACTGCACGCCACGCCGTTGTACATACGTTGTATGTACGCACGTTTCGTGCCGCACGCACTTCGTCGCTCGATCACGTAGGCGACGTCTCGCGAAAAATCATCGGTCTCCACGCCGGAGCACCGTCGGCGCTCGCCGTGCACGTGTTTCGCGACGCCACGATGCGAAACGTTATGACGACGGACGTCGCACGTTGTCGCTTTCCACGGATGCGTGTCCATCGCGCTGTGACATGTAAGTATTCGATTTAGCTCGCTGTACATACATACTTTTAAGAAGAGAAAGACAGATTCCCAGAGATTTGACGTTTGTCATCTCCGGTATTCCGCGTTCTCATCTTGGCTAAGTGACTGATTTTCGCTTTGATGTTATCATTGATAAATGAGATTGCAGATGTTTATCTTGGCATTAAACCAAGATTTTCATATCGGACAAATAAAGCTCCATTTAGCTATGAAGAATGTTACCTCAAGTGCCTGGTTGGTATCGCTACATCAGTGTTTTTTTTTTCCAGGCATGTGATTGCAGATTTATGCGTGTATGAGGAGATATCAGTGGTTACCCTTATGTCTTATAAAGACTATAGCAGTTCAGTGAATAGTAGTTTCAACGATGGATTACGATTATATGCCCTTTCACAGGGAGAAAGACTTTCATAATAGATGTTGCGGTGGAAAGCTCTGGTGTATCAAGGCAAAGTCTTATGAATACACGATTTCTGATACTCCTCTATGAATGACCTTGATTAACTTAATCAACCATTAACTTATCAGGAAATACTGTTTTGTTAGCACAGAACAACTTAATCTTTTATTTTTTAATACATGGACAGAAAGATTAGATTAGGAATGATGAATTATATAGTTGGAAATTTTGCTTTAAGTGATTCTGCAAATTAAATTAATCCCTGATTAAGTTAATCAGTGTTTGGCAAGGTTGTTCTAAAAATTATATTGTTATTTTAATATATAACCTTAATGTAACGTCTGTATTTATAGGATATATGTGGCATCATATGTGCAGTATTAACATGGTTACTGATCATTTATGCGGAGTTTGTAGTGATGGCAGTGATTCTTATTCCTACGATAAATACGATATATTCTAGCTTAAATATGGCCATTTTCCAATCTCTAGCATTCCTGGCCTTTGCGTCGCACCTAAGAACCATGTTTACAGATCCGGTAATTGAGATAACACTAAAATCTTATTTATTGCTAAAGATTTGGCATATATTTATTTTTAAGTGCTTCAGATAGGCTTAGTCCTATCGCCAGGTCTCCAACTGGTTGCTTCAGTTTTTTGACACAAAACTTCTAATTTTCCTCATTCGGCACGTGTCGTATAAGATAGGCTAAGCATTAAAAAAAAATCGATATTTTGTTTTTATACAGGGTGCAGTGCCAAAAGGCAATGCAACGAAAGAGATGATACAACAAATGGGATTTAGAGATGGACAGGTTATTTTTAAGTGTCCAAAATGTTGTTCTATTAAGCCTGACAGAGCTCATCATTGCTCTGTTTGCCAAAGGTGATTTAACATAATTAAGTTTGTATTTGTAATGTAGCAGGGCAATGCACTGATTACATTGTGTTGCAATTGCAGATGCATCAGGAAAATGGATCACCATTGTCCATGGGTTAACAATTGTGTAGGAGAAAATAATCAAAAATACTTCGTACTTTTTACTGTAAGTATTTTACAAAGAGTACATGCATATATTATGATCTGGGTCTTTACAAAGAACGATAAAATTAATGATGCATTTCTACTATTTGATCTCAAATATATCGAAATATTTTGCATAATAACGTGGACACGCTTCTCTTGCTATATTTTAGTTTTATATAGCGGGCATATCACTGCAATCCCTGTTTCTATGTATACAACAATTTACCACGTGTGTCAGGCAAGAATGGAGGGAATGCTCCACATTCAACCCACCAGCGACGGTGGTGTTATTGTTATTTCTAGCATTCGAGGCACTCTTATTTGCCATTTTTACTGCTGTGATGTTAGGCACGCAATTGCAAGCTATTTGGAATGACGAAACTGTATGTATATGAAGGAATCGTTATTCGCGCGTATATAAAAAAAAATGCGACTTGTATTCATTGAAACATACATTACATTACATAGGGTATAGAACAACTTAAAAAAGAAGAAGCCAGATGGGTACGCAATAGCAGATGGAAATCGATTCAAGCGGTCTTCGGAAGATTTTCGATAGCTTGGTTTTCTCCCTTTACCTCGCCTCCTAACGCAAAGACGAAATTAGATTCTTATTTATATTCCGTTTGAATTATATTTTGATACATATAACCATGACTTACATATATAGAGGCATATTTAAGATATATAAATATTAATGATGTTCGATTAGTATACAGGCTTGGTCTCAGAACTGAGACGAACTAAAACTTTTCTTTTAAGTGAAGAGAAATGATACAAGAGAATTTTTGCATAATTTCTAGGATTATTATGTAATTAGGATATAAGGAGATTGAATTTATCATATTGAGAATCTTGTATTCTCGCAAATCTCGCAAATTTTATATATCAGTTTTCAAAGTTTTGTTTATGAAAAAATATATCTTTGTGATAGTAAAAGTATTGAAGGTTAAAAGTTCGCAATATTTAATATAATTAATTATTATAATTGACTATTTACACCTTTTGTAAAGATTTTATTTATTATTATTATTATACCGGTTTATTTTATATATGTATGTATCAGAGAATTTCATATAATGGTTGTATAGCTAAAACAATTCTTGCAATTATAAGAGATAAGAGGTAAGTTAATACAGAATATATATAATTATATGTAATAATATGTTATTTATATATTATAATATATGTAATATATAATACATTTATATACGTAATATATATATATATATACGTAAATGTATATTTACATCTTTTTTGCGGAATATTTGTAATTTTATACTGCTATCCAAATATTGTACGAATTTTTTGCTATGACAACGTTAGGAAAGTACTTAAGGTGATCCTAAAGCCGTGATCCTAACCGGTTTTTTTCAGTTTTTTTCTTAGCACTAATCTTTTAATTGGCTTTATAGAAATGCAAAATTCTTGTCTAGAATTAAAGTACGCATCAAAATCTAGGTCATGGTGGTCGAATTTATATGTGGTGGTCGTCACGTATAACAAAAAATATTAATTTTTTTTCGTTTTCGATATAAATTCGACCACCATGACCTAGATTTTGATGCGTACTTTAATTCTAGACAAGAATTTTGCATTTCTATAAAGCCAATTAAAAGATTAGTGCTAAGAAAAAAACTGAAAAAAACCGGCTAGGATCACGGCTTTAGGATCACCTGAAATGACAATTAGGGCCGATTTACCTTTTTTGCATCTTTAGATATGTACAATACATGTATATTAGAGTGCATAAATTTTGATTTTAGACATAACAAGATTTTACTATATTCAAAAGAAACAATTTTTTATATTTCTATATAATACTTTAGTTTCTCGTATTTGTTATATTTTGTAAATGTAAAAAATAAACGTATTTTAATACCTTTAATACATTGCAAAATTTTGCTTTTAAATGACAAGTCATTATACGACATAGTTTATTTAAATTGATAAAATTGCAAAATATACTATTATTAAAAAAAATACATTAAACTCTGAATTTGCATCGTTAGACAGTATAAGTAAAATCGGCTCTCGCAACTATCATGATATTGATTTTTCCAAAGAAATGTAATATCTTTCTAAGGATAAAGCGTAGAGACTATTCTGATGAGCGAAAAAAAATGTAATCCATACCTATAAATATTGCGACAATTGTACATTATAACGATGAATAATAGAGATGGATTCTTGACATTTTCATTTTCTATTTTGAGACTGGATTATATAAATATATAAACTTACGAAAATTTAAGTATGCCATACACACATATACAAGAGATAACATTGCAAATTTTTCGTATCATTTATTACATATCTAGTAATTGTGAAAAAACTAACATTTTACGTTGCAAAGTCTCGTTTTCCAATTACATCGAATTACAACGTATTCATAAGAAACAATCAAGATTGATCTTCAGGGATGAATTGAAAAAGAGGTGATTATATCCTTTATCTGCGTCTACTCAAGTACATTTAAGATAAATGATATATGAGTGAAATATGAATAAAATAAAAAACAAGATAATCATGTCTTTCTATCTCTTTACGCTCTCAACGTGACGTTCGTTATTAAACCTCAGATACAAGAATTCGTTTGGTCATGTATTATAGATTGTGTGAATTTCATCTTTTTAAATTCGAATTTTTCCATAATTAATACATGCGCCTTGCTCCTTATAACTACACGGTTTCATTCGAACTCACGAGAGCTCCGGCGCGCCGCGCCGTGGCGATGTTCCCTTGTTAAAATCTTGTTAGTCGTGCACTCGCAAGCAAGATTTCCCTGCTTGACTTGGAAACGAGCGATCAGTCGCGCAGCGATAGGGCGATACTACTGACCGCTATTAGGAAAAGGATCGCTGATAATTAGCATTTTAATTTGCAGTAGTGATTTCTCTATATCGCTTTCTATCCTCGCTCACCACATGAAAGGTCTGGGTAAATATATTTTATGTCATAAATATAAGAAATTGAATCTCCCAGTCCGACAACGCAGCCGCGTAATGCGATACGAAACGCATAAAGCGCGCGTCTAGAACTGCAGCTTTATAAATTTATCTGTTCGAACGACTTTACTGTTGCAAAAGTAAAAGTTTGCATTGATAACGACGACTCATTACAGGTGTTAAACTTTTACGACTAAATGTCGCAATACTTTCGATTGAATTATTTTATTTCGATTTCTGATTACAAAAAAATATTAATATATTATACTAATAATATACCAATCATTAATGTATATTATATTTATATGGATATTTAAAAAATTTATGTACCGGTTGTTTGCACCGACATAATAATATTAATAATGTACTATTTCTAATATTATTAATAATGATTTTTTAGGTATAATAATAATTAATCATTTTCCATTTTTCTTTTAATTTCCAATAGAATTGTTTAAATCGCTTTTGTCCCTATTTATTATTATATCTTTAATATATTAAAGTATTAATATATTACACTACTAATATATTAATTATTAACATACATAATATCAATAGAAATGTGTTTTAAAAAGTTTATATATATATATATATATATATATGTGTGTGTATACATATATATATTAATATATTAATAATATTGATTTTTCCGATATAAAATAATAATCATTATAGTTGTTACATCTGCTTTTGTAAGCTTTCAATGTTTAAATCACTTTTATCTCTATTCGTTACTATATCGCTGAAGTGACGTTCTTTAAACTTATTATCTATATCGCGCCAGAAAGCCATATATATTGTATCTTCTTTTAACCGGTATTTATATGTTCGACCAGTATTTTTATATTTGTCTCATAGATTTTTTCGCGTCTTTATTGTATTCCAATCAAAAGCGATTTAAATGGAACTTTCTTTCCTCCGACAATCTTTTTTTTCCCGACAAGAATGAGACGTTGCTCAGTGGCGATGGTGATATCTCACGTGTGTTAAATTAAGTTGCAGTCGTAGTTCAATTATTATCTCCGAGAGTCGCCCGCCGTAAGCCAGATTGGCGTGGCGGTAAAAAAACACTATAGAAGTAAAGTGTGCCTAAAAAACGCGATATTGCGAAAAAAGGCGATCTATCCCGTTCGGCGGAGATACGCGCGTCCATCCGAAGCGCGCGCTGCTCTCCGATTGGCCGGTCGCCGATAGCGCGGCAAAAAACGAATGCGCGAGCCGCGCGCGCGGCTCGGTCCGGTCCGTTTTCCACTTTCATCGACTTCCGTTTTTGCGAATGGGGGGATATGCGATACGGCGGCGGTGGTTTCCATCTCGATGGAGCGTGGGGCGCGGGGCATTGGCAAGGCCGGGAGCGAGGCGGCCGTCGAACGGAATCCCGCTTCTGTCACGAGCGCTATTGCCACCGTCATCGTTCGCTGTCGTGCGCTGGCTTTCACTTTTCCGCGGCGATACCACAGTGAGTCTTTTGAAGCTCCTCGCGTGTGCAATTTTTCAGAAATTTTTGAGTCTACTTTGGACGACCATGCAGTTTCGGAATTTGGGACAAAATCCCGAGTTTGTAGATTTACTATTTCACACGCGGTTTTAATATACATACATATAATATATGTATATGTATTATGATTTTTATTCTTATTACATATGCATACACTACCTTTTTAATTACTTTTTTAACGTTGTCAAAATTGTGTAATATTTGAGGTAATAATATAAAATTACAAATATCCCACAAGAAAAATATAGATAAATAAATAAATAAATAGATAATGAAATAAATAAGTAGATAAATAAATGTGTGTGTGTGTGTGTGTGTGTGTGTGTGTGTGTGTGTGTGTGTGTCCAGTGTTCGGTATATATGTATATATGTGTATATATCCAGTCCACATTATCATTTATCACATAGCTAGGTGTTTCTCCACTTTCCACTAAATTCTCAGCATATATAATACGGGTAACAACCGTGTTATTTTTATTTGGAGACAGCTATTTCCGACGTAGCATACTTTCCATATAAGAACTCAAAACGATATAGTTTATCAGTGAATATCACGTTTCAATACACTTCAATCCCGCAATACCACTCTAATTTCGAGTGATATTTACCTTACTCTAATTTACCTCAGCTCGTGCTTGTCGTTTTTTATGCCGTTTTTTCAAATGTTTGCGAAAACGGTATGTTATAATTTTTATATATTTTATATTTTAGTAGGCAATAGCGAGAGGATGTATCTAACGAGCTTACAAACCATATAAAAAATTTTAATTTTAATTGTAAAACGACGGTATTAGTCCATATGCTTTTGTATAACAAACTATGGGCAACTTCGGCTAAACTCCGCCGATTAATTTACTTGGAAATTAATTCAACTGATAGAATTGCTTAATACTATATAGAACAACCAGCGTTTGGTATATTGGTATTTAATGGTATATATTTTGATATAGACATCCCAGACAACACGCGTATGTCTAAAAGACATCATAAAAACAGTTTTAAGATAACTTTTAGACATGCGTGTTTAAAAGACATCTTTACATCTTTAGACGTTGCTGTCTAAAATCCTATATACAGAACTTCGAAATTAGAGTGATTGATGGAAAATAAATTGACATATATATATATATATATTTATTTTTTTTATTTCGGCAAAAGTCACAACGAAAACACTTTAATAATGTCTGTAATTTAAAACCAGAAATTTGAAACTCATTATTTTGACGGGATTGGTTAATTGTTCTAGTGCTAAAACAAATAACATGACTACATTGACTACATAACTTGTCTCCAAATCTATAATTTTTTTTTATATGTCAAATAAAAAATTAGTAATTTTATCCATGTTAACTAAATAGCATAAATATTACTTGATAAATAAGTTAATCGGCGATTACGTTAATCGAAGTTTGGTCGAAATATATTTCAGATTTTCCAAATTTTTGTTATATATTACGTAGAGTATAACAAATTATAAATATAATCTTATCATGAATTATGGATCGTTCGAACTGGATTTTAGGCATATGTTTAGCAATCAAATGGAGCTAATTCTACCGACAATAATGAAGTTTTTTTTTTATTATAAAACTTTTTATAAAACTTTTTATTGTTAAATATCGAGATTTTACCAGAGAGAGAGAGAGAGAGAGAAAGAGAGAGAGAGAGAGAGAGAGAGAGAGAGAGAGAGAGAGAGAGAGAATGGCGAGCCGCTCTAAATAATTGGCGAAACTTGGTTTTTCCAACTGAATCTCTGTGAAAGGCGCATTCTTTTTCATTTATTGACGCAACATGTAGTTTCTATTTTCAACAAAGATTTTTTCTTAGAGTTCAAAGAATAAAAGGATTTAATATTTTAAACAAAGAGTGATTGACTCCCGTGTATCTTCGAAACATTTATTAATTCGCGTAGTGGCTCGACGAGCCGTGGCGCTTCGTTTCGTCACGCCTTGCTTAAACACTTTCGATTTCGTGCTCCGCGGATCATCTCGTGATTCTTAATTGGACACTGTGTAATCGCCGTTTTACGGCTATTTACCGATTCCTTATCTCACAAAGTGAAGATATGATGTGATATGTATAAATATTAAGATATTAATTTTTGCCCGGCGCGAGAACGATCGAGATTTGGTAGCTCTCTGCGTGGAATAACAACTTTTCATCTCATGTATGTAACGAAGGAAAGCAACGAGAAGCACGATTTTTCCTCTCTCGTGACCTACTTCAGTGTCATTAATTCAATTAAAATATGTAATTAGACGTAGAGTTAAGATAAATAATTAAAATGTATAATTGAAAGTTCGTGCAAAAAATATACGGATTTCACGTATCACATTTCATTTCAATTGAAAAGTACGTGATGGTTGATGTAACCGTTTTTATACAACTAACTCGGACGCGATGCGCCGTAAAGAGAGATTAACAATCATTTTAAGAGAGGGGTGTGTCTTAATATTTTCACGGATGTTCCTTGTTTCATATATTTTTGTGTTGCTTTCGCGTGTTTGGAACGATTACCTATAACAACAACAAGTTGGTCGCGCAACGAAAGGCATTACATTTCGTTAACGGCCTGTTTCGCAATAGGTGAACGGTCAAGGTACGTGCACATACGTAACAGAGAGTAGAGAGCGACCGTAAAAATGCGATTTTAGAGCGGGCGTGCCGTAGAGATCCGCGTTCAAAAATGACGCATATTGCGATATCGTTAATATAGAGTGTCCCGAAAATACCGGAAATCTTTTTAAAAACAATTTCCTTGTTAACGATAGATTCTCTAATCGACTTGGAAGTCAGTCTTTCCTCAGCAAGAATGTCGAAGGTAATCATTTGATCATTCATTACACCTAATTATATTTTGTCAATCTTCTGCGTCATAAGCCTTTGTAATAAAGTTTCAGATTAAAGTTTTGTCAAAGAAACTTCCATTTGCGATTAACCGAAAGAATGTAGCGTTGTTATATATTTAGTTTCTCGAAGTTTAGTTCGCGGAAAAAAGTTGTCCTTTCTCAATCAAATTATAGGAAATTATTGACACGTTGACATTTTCGTTAAGAAAAGATCGATTCTAAAAGTATAGCTAAAGAATTTATTATGAAAAGAGTAACCGGTGATTTTTGGAATATCCGTCTAGTTATATATTATACAAGCATTATATTTTATCCATATACCTATATTTAAATGTCTATAAATAAATTGTGAAAGTTGAACGAGTCAACCTTTTTTGCAAATAAATTTTCCTATAATCATTATCTTCGGTATTCTTTTTTTGATTTAGGAGATTTGATTAATCTCTCTCTCTCTCTCTCTCTCTCTCTCTCTCTCTCTCTCTCTCTCTCTCTCTCCCTCTCCCTCTCTCTCTCTCTCTCTTTCTGCTTTTATTAGATTTACTGTTTATTATTTTAATTAAATGTTGTCTTAATTATTTTAGATTTTGTTTTTATAAAGCCTATTGTTATTATTATGTATACATGCTTATTTTTATTATAGGAACGTATCATTGTTATATTACATACAGGATGCATTTCAGTCTAGATTTATCTCATGCGAATCGAGGTAATAATGCTCACGTTCCGCGCGCAGCATTAAATTATATCATTCCGCGAATTCGTGGTCATTAGCGTCAAATGTAGGTGTGTGCACGTATAGACAAACAAATATAATTTTTAACAACTGATAAATTGCAATTATAAACACATTTGCTACGCGTAGCATCGCGTGCGATTAATCCGACGAGAGACCGGATTTATCGCTTTCCCTGTTTCATCAAACAGTCGAGAGAGTTATACTCGACCAGGATCATCGTCACTTAAACGTTAGGGTAACTCCAGTATTTACGCCGCGTGAGGATTTACGCCGCAGAAGTAAAAAAAAAAAAATAGAAGAAATAGAGATACGTGCTTGCAATCACAAATGTTATGTGCCATTATGTCATATTAGTATTGTGTTGTAATTTCAGTTCTTTACTGTTAATATTAACGAAACCGTCGTGAGTTGAATCGATTTCTCACCGTAGTAAGTAGCGCGATCATATATTACGATCTATGTAAAATAACTACTGAAGGAAATGCAAAAGGTTTAATGGTTATTTCATGATACATAAGTGTAGAGGGATAGTAAAGGATGGAATACAGCAAAATACAAGTGCATAGCTCTTATATTCTTTGTTTAGCTTGATATCTTATATATCCCTTCTGTTCAGGATATACGGCATTTTAGCATGCAGGATTTATGCCATAGTACAGACGCTCTGTAAAAATCGAAATCTCCTATGTGTTCTTTTTCTTTCTTTTTCTTGGATCGTATACCAATAACCTTTAATGTATCTATTATTCTTCTATTTTCTTTTAAAAATTTTTTAGTTTTATAATTTGTTTATCATTCTTACATCTTAATAAACTTCTTACACACATTTTATAACTTATTATGACATTTTATTGCCTTATTTATAAACATTATTTGTAATTTTTTATAAGGCGTATATTTCACCCATGAATGTCATATATGCCACCGCTATGGGATACATATATGGCAAAAATGCAAGGGCTTCTAAAAGTTTTTTTATATTAAATACAAAGAATGAATATCTCATATTTCTATTTTTTTTATAGTAGTAGACAGTATAAAGTTTTTATTGGTATAATTCATTTGTCTTAAACATAGTAAATAGTACTCGATAAATTAAGTTTCCTTTAGCTGCGGCGTATATACCGAAGTTACCCTATATATTTGTCATTTTAGTATCGTGCGAGAGAGATGACCAGGAAAATGGAACGGAAAATGATAATTACGTGGAACGAACGAAACATTTTATTGGTATGTACTACGTATAATTGTTTACTATTAACCGAAAATTATCACCTGGCATCACGTCGTTTACGTCCATCACAACGATCGTAAAAAGATTCATTGTGCGTGTAAATCGTTAAACTGTCGTAAAAGAAGTGTGTCGTTACACACTATTACGCTGTTAGACTATTATATCGCTACTTCAAGAAACTTTAGAGTTGTTCTAATTAATTGCTGTAATTAAAATATTTTTATTCGATGTTCAATTCAATCAAATTAACGCTAAGTTAGCTTATTTTTCATGGATAGATATTTATTGACCTATCTGATTATTATGAGAGAGTATGAGCTTCCCTGCGGTTATTTTTTATATCACTACAGCCCTTTGATTTATTTCGTGACATTAAATCTTTAATTTTTTAATCGGTTTTCAATTTCGAAAGTTTGGCATTTATAATTTTATATACTGCATTTCTGTTAATTTTTTTCAATTAATTTTTACAAGTGACTGTCTATCGTTTTTACGTTGCTACCTCTTGGTAGCAATTGATAAAACAGCATTATTTATTGCAGGTTTTTTGCTTTTTCGTCACGTCAATTACTCTCACGTCGACATACGATCCAAATGACAAGTCCCTGAAGGATATTCTTTTGCCGGAGGGTCAGTTTGAGGCGTTTTACCTGAAAGGTATGCAAGAAGAGGAGCAAAACGCCGTGAGACCGCCCCACCTTCATGGGTCCTTTCATCAGCACCGAAATCCTGCATTGGTTGACGCGCCCAACAGCGCGGCATACGGATTTCGTTTCGACGGGAAACGTCGCTTTAACTTCAGTTGAATTATCGCGTAGAAAAAAAAAGATACTTAAATGAAAACGAAAGAGCATTGAATATGACAGAAATATTACTGACGCTTTCATCAAGAATTGCGGTTATCGTTGAAATATGAAGATCAGGAGTACGTAGATGCCAGGCAGTTAGCGGTTAGACGGTTAGATTTGCATCATTTTGCTTAGTCAAGCGTGTAAATTGAAAGTATTTATGCATAAGAAAATTTCACATGTGTATCCTCTTTTCTTTAGATGAAAACTGTGAATGTGGTTTTACCATAATTATTTTAATAATTATATAGTTGACATATTTTGAACAGATTTTTTTTTTATTTATTGAAAAATAAAATATACGTTTCATTATCTGTGTTTTTTTTAATTAGATTCCGCATCTCTTATTAATTTTGTTAAAAAACTGAGTGTAAAGAGTCTTGATCAAGTAACGCTAACAAAATACGTTTGAATTAACTCACAATTGCGATGATATGATTAATGGACGATACGTTCACTCAATTAACTACAAGTTCTATCTTACGATGGCAAAGTAAATGTTGAATTAATCGAATTATGTCTGACAAATTTCCCATCATAAATCATTTTAGATCGGTAATAATTGCAAGCTAGCATTCCCTTAATTCTAAATTGATTCTAGACAATAAGAATATCCAAATAATTTATCATCCATCTTTACAACCCGATAATACGTAAGTAGGTAAATTTATTAAAATTATTTTATCTTTAATCTTTTATTCCGTCCAATATTACATAAGACAGTAATAATGTTCGAATAATTAGTGATCGAAAATAAAGATTTCCTTCAATTAAAGGTAAAAGAATATATATAAAAGAATATCATAAAAGAATATATATTTATCACTTTAGTGTTAAACAGATTTTATTTTAGTGAAGTTTTTAAACCTTTAAAAGTCCTAAATAAATATACGTATATTGAAAATTAGCAGAATTGCTAAAAAACATGTTTAAAAAAGAAAAAACAAAACATATACCTGACTATAGACTAGTATACCTGACTTACAAAACATATGTATATCTGACTATGATGGTATTCATAGTCCGATCTTATATTTAAGATCGTCTTGAGTACTATCTCGGAATGTTATACAGTCATTTCATTGGCTGGATGGAATCTTAAAGCCCATATCAGACTACGGATTGGAATTGAGATTGGATTGAAATTTGGTTAATCAGAGCAAAGTTTACTAAACTTGTGATCAGTTTTCTCTATTCTGATTGATTAAATTTCAATCCAATCTCAATCCTAATCCGTAGTCTGATACTTAAGACTGTCTTTGACCAGACATAAGAATATCTAATGTGCAAGAAAATATGTTATATATATAAAAAATAAATATTTTGTTAAAGGATCAATTTAATATTATTAATAATTTTACATTCAAAATTTGTATTAAACACTTTCTTAAAAAACATTTGTTTAAAACATGTTTCAAAAAAACGTATGTTTAAATGTATCTAATGTTTAAAACATGTATAAAACTTTCGTTTTGAGTAAAATTTTAAAGCATAACAATCCTGAAAATTAGAAAGTGATGAAAGCATTGACGTATGTCGATTCCGCTAAAAAAAAATTGATTTCAAATTGACTAAATTCTACAATTCGAAAGATACTCTGTGATTTTGAGACACTGTATATATATTGTAATATTTGATATACATACAAAATAACTACATACCAGTTTGAGAAAGTATGTACTAAATGTACCTAGAGGTAGTGATCTTATCAGGAGGGATCATTATAAAAATTCATGTAAGATATACCTAGTTGCTTGATTATACGAGCGAGCAAGACCATTCATATATATGTACTGGTTTTGATGCCCCACTGGTTTATCGGTACTCGAAGGAGCCGATTTGCTGCCAGATTAGATATTATTAACCGTCCCGCGCAGAATGTCGACTCTTCTTGTATTAATCCACGGATTTTTCAAACCTTCCCTGTAATCTACGCATCGTACCACGCCTTTTCCGTTCGCGACCATTCTCGCGATCGTTGTAATTATTCGAAAGATCGCGATTCTATATGTGGAATTATATCAGAATTGCTTCTGTGCCAATTAATTAAACGGATTTCTACCCAATTGAACAGCAATGACGTAGAATTACTATCGACATTTCAAGGATGAGAATCCCGATGCGACTCTGGCGATTCCAACAACCAACTTTCCATGTTCAGATTATGTGTTAGAAACCTAGCGCTTCGCGCTGGAGATGGTAAACTAACAAACTACACGCAATTAAAATGGCGTGTAAATGATTTTACTTTCATTAAGCCAATGGCCTTGGTTATGACTGCTCTCGCGTTAATTTGGAAAATCAGAGGATCAACGGTGAGGATCTTCATTACATGTTGACACGATATGTTTCCATACACTGAGAAAAAAATGTCGTTAATTTGACTAAACTCGTTTAGTTGTAGTGATTTGTTTAATGCAAATATTAATATATTTAAATCAAATATACGTGAGTAATATTAAGAAATTCTGAATTTATTTCAATATAATATTTTTTGAATTAACAAATGTTAGCTTGACAGCCCGTGACCGCTGCATTTAGTTAAATCAAATAATATTTCTTTGAATCAACGATTTTTTTTTCTCAGTGTATGAAATTACCAGGACAGCGATGTTAAAGCGCCGCATAAATTTGTTGAGGAATGTATTTTTGCATTACATGGTATCTGCGAGTTTTCATCTCTGTAATTATTGAGGATAAACAAGTCTCTATTCTTTCAAGCAAGAATTTATTGGTCAGTTTTGTGGGTTATTAAACGTACCTTGAAATTTAGAGACAAACGATGTAATGTGTAATGTACTTTACTCGACAATTTATTTACGTGTTATACAGAATGTCCGAAATAATGCTCAAATTGCGCCAGCGTGTTTTATGAGTAAAGATAAGAAAAAAGTACATAAATTATAAAATCTATGTATATATATATATATATATATTATTATTTTATTATTTTATTAACAGTATTATTTTATTAACTCTTATGTCAATACCCGGAATGTGCGACGTTGTTCAATACCCGGGTACCCGGGTACCCACCTGTGTATATATGGGTAAAATTTTTAATGTTTGCATAAAAATTTCTTTATAACCGCCCGGATCGTCGCTATTTGAACTTTTTACTATCGAAATATGCAATGAACTTTTTGTTTCAATACCCGGAAGTAAAAAAATTATTGTCTTGAAGTTTACCTACTTGATTCTAATACCCAGGGTACCCGGGTACCCACTTTTAAAAATATGAGTTTTATTATAGTTATTGACTAAATTAATTTATAAATAATTAATATGGTTATAGAAATTGTAAATTAATACAAAACAATTATTTATAAATTAATTTAGTCAATAACTATAATAAAACTCATATTCTTAAAAGTGGGTACCCGGGTACCCTGGGTATTAGAATCAAATAGGTAAACTTCAAGACGATAATTTTTTTACTTCCGGGTATTGAAACAAAAAGTTCATTGCATATTTCGATAGTAAAAAGTTTAAATAGCGACGATCCCCGGGCGGTTATAAAGAAATTTTCATGCAAACATTAAAAATTTTACTCATATATGCACAGGTGGGTACCCGGGTACCCGGGTATTGACATAAGGGTTAATATGCCATTTCAAAATCTTGGGCATTCTTATCGGCGATCGTCGAATTTATTTCGTTTTTTATTTGAGCAACATCAATTCCAATAAAATATTAAAAAATATATGTAAAAGTTATATAATAAATTAGCACATCGGATTTTTTAATATGCGGATTAGTGAAAAAAAGCAATTAATAATTAAAATTATAATATTTATAATATCCAACACATTCATATACCGCAACATATGTTAGGTATAAATATGTTGGATATTATAAATAACATAATCTTAGTTATTAATTGCTCTTTTTCACCAATCTGCATATAAAAAATCCGATGTGTATAAATTAGTTTACAAAAGACTTTTTTTCCTTTTAGACATTTTGTAATATACTGTAGCCAATTTAGAGGAGTTATGAGGACGAAAGACAGCGGCAAGCGCGAGAAACCTTGCTTCGGGGTATCATAATAAACACGTTTGCCTACTACATAGTCGTGTAGCGATCAGATTCCAATTTAGAAACTATGTGATAGATATCTCTCGTAACAATAAGGAAATATAGAAAACGAAATGCTCCCGTTACTCGCCCGGCTCTCGTGAGCCGCTGTGCGTTCGGGATTATATACCTAAGATGCGTTATCAAGCCTGCCTCGGCACGGACCCCGCTCTAATAGCTGCGGGAGAAGCTTTAAAAGAGGTGGCTAACACTGCGGCCCAACAGTTGTCTTCGCAGTAGATCGGTGAGGTGAGCGAGATATTTCGTGCGAGCAACGATATGAGGATCACGTGTCTTATTACGGTGAGTGAAGACAGTTTAGAAAAATGATTGTCTTCGCAGTGAGAAAAGTGAACGACGAAATTACAATCAACGTGACTAATTTGCGCGAATTTGCCGAATTGTCGAAACACGACCCGGACCTTCTGCTAGTATCGTCCGATAATGGTGAACATATAAAGGATACATGAACAAAGGCGACTAAAAATTGTAGCTATTTATCAGAATATCTTTGACTAATTGTTTTTAATTCGATGAAATAATTAGCAATGTGCTTCTATTGATAAAATTATATTTTTATGAAATATTTAATGATTTTTTAAACGCAAAGTAATGCGCGATGTTTTTATTTGTTATTTAGTTGAGATATTGTTGAAAATTGTTGGCCAATTTTGTCATGTAACAAAGTTGTACTCTGTGAATTAGAATGGATTGTTTCTAACGTATCCTTTTAAGTCTTACTGTTAAATTACATACCAATCAAGTGCACACACAATCAATTAACTTTCAATTTTCCTTTTTCTCAGAAACGAGGCCTTGTTTGAAAGAAATTTATTCAAGCATTTCGACTTATTTTGAATCGTAGAATCATCCTCTTTCTGGTCTGGTACTATGTATTTCGGCCTACCCTAATTAAATATAATATAATACAAATTAGAAATATGTTTTGTTCTTCATGTATGCTCATATGCCTTATATATAGGTCTGTGCGTATCTATCATCAACAGTATCCACTGACGACATCCAATATTTTACTAGGTAAGTAGACTTTCGACAGATAACAACATTCTCTCTTTTATTACCTATATCTATATTAAAAATTATTTTGTTTTGATAGAAGTTTATTTTTTTAATTATAATTCTAGATTCATAAATATTAGATGTAATAATAAGAGTATTTAATTTT